AGGGGGACTGCTCACCGCCAGCCAGCCTGCTACACGCCCTGCCTGGCAGAAGTGCCTTTTAAATGTAAGCCAGGAATAAAGCCTTGGAAGCTTTATCTTTTCATCTCATTTTAGTTTGATGTTGCTAGTTTTTTGCCCCACATTACAAATCTCAAAATCATTTTTAATACTCTACCTGTAATTCACTCTATCCCTATTGCTAAGAACTGAGAAATCTACAAGCTTAGAAACCAAGAACTCTGTTCTTCTTCCAAGGCCCTGATGAAAAGTTAGAGATGCAGACACACACACACAGGGTTCCCTAGATGTTGCTTGCACCGGACACAAGCTGGCTCCAGCCTTTGAGACAGCCCAGTCTCAAGCCAGTCCATCTTCTTTGGCACATTGTCTAGGGTAGACTCTATATCTAGAAGAGCTGTGGCTTCTAGTCTAAGAACTACGAACCACTGATTAATCACCTAGTCCAGAGTAGATATACAACCTCTGCCTCTTTGTCTCGTCAGGAACAGACTCAGAAGATTTCATAACATTCTAGGATATTTGCCAACGTGTAATATAATATTTAGCTATTTAATTTAGTTTGTGATTATCTTTCTTTCCATTTGCCCGTTCCCAGTATCCATTCAACTCTGTGGCACACTTCAAAGCCTGCGAGATTCTAACCCCCGATTCGCTCAGCATGTTGATAGATGCTTTATCAGATCAGATCTGACTTTAAATAGTGCCTGGTTGTTCTTGTGGCTGTTTTTCTATTCTTTCACGGAGGGCTCAAGTAGACACATTTGGACTCTATTAATTGGACTCCGGCTCACGCACAGCACACATGGAAACTTCCCTCCCTCCTTGTTCTGTTTCTGGGGAGCACAAAGTTGTTCTCCTCTCAGGACCACCCAGTGAGGTCAGCAGGCAGCAGCATCCTCTTGTCAAGCCATGTACCCCACACCTTCATTAGTTTCGACCCGGAAACCAATTAGCAAGTTATAAAAGATTCTACCATCTTAGGAGTAGGAGGGGATGCTGAGAGTCTCAGCGCAGCCCTCACCTTGGGTCCCTCACAGAGGGAACAAGGCCTAAAGAGTTTTACACAGTGCACCCCTGATGGAGACAAGTGCCAGTCTCTTTCACCTGACCCCTGGCAGGTGCTTTTCCCTAGATACAGACATTTGCTAAACCTTAGCAGTTGGCCTACTAGACATAGTTCATTGCATGTGTCTGTCTTTGATTCCCAGATCCCAGTGGAAGGAGAGAATTAGCTCCCAAAGGCTGTCTTTTGACCTCTGAGTAGTGCCCAACCATGGCACATTATACACAAACATGGAAACCTATTTTACTTATTGTAGAATAGAAATGAAGAACTCGGTAGTATATTAGGAGCTGTTATCAATGAGGCACCTGATTTGGGTTGAGGAATAGTAACATTTTAAGTAACTCTGACTTGAGGACACTCTAAGTAAGGGGCCTGAGGAAGAAGCAAGCACAACTGTGCTACGACTGGCCCTGCTCCTCCTCCTCCTCCTCCTCCTCCTCCTCCTCCTCCTCCTCCTCCTCCTCCCTCCTCTGATTATCCTAGTCCCTGCTCACTAGATAACAAACAGCTGGGAAGTACTAAGAGCACAGCAGGCGCTGTTTCTGGGTTCTTGAATGTAATCATCTATGTCCCGTTCCTAACACCCTTGTGAAATAAGCATTGGTATAATCATTTCTGCTTTATAGATATGGAAAGTGGGCCACAACAAAAATCAGTAAGTGTTCTAAACCGGCACGGTGCAAAAGGGATGGATTCCTCCCCTGCAAAGGCACGGCTCCCCGAGCTGTGATTTTTAACTGTTCTGGAAAGGGCCCCCTCCTGCTCACAGGTGACTTGGAAGGACATCCTTCTCAAGGTGTCTGCCTCTTCCTACAGAATGTGGCTTCAGCTGATGCAGCTGAGCTGATAGGTTGCTGGGCACTAAGGAAGGCAAAAGGTGGGTCTGAGAGGATGTCTTCTGACAGGGGCTGCTGGAGCGGATGTGACTGAATGAACATCTCAGTCAGCCTTGCTCGCATGCTGGTACCATGGGGACAATAGGAAAAATTGTCTCAGAGGAGCTAACCTTGCTCTCTTCCTCACAAAATGATGCCACATGCCCAGTGCTCCGAGAACATAAGGCCCTGTGCCCAAAATGACCTGACAATCATTTCGTTCTTCTTGAATCCCTCCGTGCAAGCAATTTCACACTGAGGCAATGCAGTACCTTCTCCTCAGTGGTGCTGGGCACTGATCAAGGGCCTCATGCATGTTGTCCTAATTAGTCACCACATATGTCTTTCTCAACCTCATTTCACACACAGGAAAACAGCTCAGAGAATCCACTACATGTTATCAAACATCTCCATCAAGAGCCACTCGGTTTGGTTTTAAAGTTCTGCTTTCCCCGTCTTTCCCCTCAACCCCCCACCTCCTCCCTTTCTCTCTTCTCCCCACTACTCCTCCCCTTCTTGTCTGTTCCTCTGCCATTATTTTTGAATTATCTTATGGAGTTACAGTGAACCTCCACATGGGTGCTGTGAACTGAACCTGGGTTCTCTGCAAAAGCAGCAAGTGTTCCTAACCACTGGGCGTTCTCTCCCGTCCCCTAAACTCCAATCATTAAAGTCTAATACATACAAGTGTTCTTATCACTTCCCAAAGAATGCGGGGCCATCTCGATCCTCCACCCAGTCACAGCTGACACTTCTCTTTCATGCGGTTATGGTCATTTAATTCTACAGGACATGGTGCAGCTCCATCGCTAACACACAGTCGTATTTTTCTCATACTTAAATTTTATGTTGCCTTCTGTTGCTTTCTTTCTCATCTCTATGAAATCATTTTCCCCATGCTGGAACAACTGCCATTAACATTCCATTACTGCATATCCTTCAGTAATGAACTACTCCAATTTCAATAGTCCTAGAGGAACTTTATTTCATCTATTTTGAAGACTACGTTTTCCTAGATAAAAGACTTGAGATAGCCAGGTATTTTCTGTTGTACTTTAATGCTCGCTGTTGTCTCAGCACTGTATCTTCTGGCTGTAACTGAATATTTTAGAAGGAGCGGTGGGCTGCATTCATGGCACCCGGCAGCCCACGTGGCTAGCTTTACCCGAAATAACAACACACAAATTATATTCATTTAAATACTGCCTGGCCCATTAGTTCCAGCCTCTTATTGGCTAACTCTCACATCTTGATTAACCCATTTTTAATAATCTGTGTAGCCCACGAGGTGGCTTACCAGGAAAAATCTTAACCTGCATCTGTGTCGGGTGGGAGAATCATGGCAACCGCCTGACTTGGCTTCTTTCTCCCAGCATTCTGTTCTGTCTACTCCGCCTACCTAATTTTCTCTCCTATTAAAGGGCCAAGGCAGTTTCTTTATTAATCAATGAAATCAACACAAAACAGAAGACTCTCCCATATAATTCCATATTAGAATATAAGCTGTATTTTATCTTTGATGGCCTTTTCTTTCTATTTTTGTTCTCAATAGATTTGCTAAATTTTACCATAAGTGATGTGCCTTCCTATTCATTTATACAAATTCAGCATGGCTTAATTTTCTGGGCATATGAATTGGTGTCTTTCATCAATTTGTAAACACTTTGATATTGTCTCATCACCTCCCCTAGTGGGACTCTGATTACACACGTTACCCCTTTGCTCAGTGTATCATGTTTTATGTTTTCTTCTGTATTTTCTAATACTTTGGGGTAATGTATTTGCCAGGATATTTTCTACTGACCTTTCACCCGCTGACTAGTCTTTTTTCTGTGTTACAATATAATATGAATGCTTAGTTTCTGTTGGAGCTTTTCAGCTCTAATAGTAACATTTTGTTATTGTTTAGATAAATGTCTCTCTAAAGATCCACATATTCAAGGGTGGGTCCTAAGAGTGGGGACAGTGGAAGGGTGGTGAAGTCCATATCTAATGAGGAGTAGTTGGAGACCTCAGGTCACTGGGGAGCCTAACCCCTCTTCATTCATAGTCACTGTTTCTTGAAGCAGGTACTTTTGTTCAGCCACAAGCTCCTGCTGTGATCGCCCCGAAACTGTGGCGATAGGAAAGTAAACAACACACATTTGATTGTTTTACATTCCTATTCCCATTAAACTCTCCATCCTGCTGTACATGTACTTCCAACATGGCAAATTGCTTTAGAGTCTGTGTGTAATAAGTTCAATATGGGACTATCCTGAGTATTCTTTTTGTTGTGTGATGTTCTTTTCCTTTTGGTCCTCAATGATTTGGAGCTATTTCTTGATGAATCATAACTAAGGATAGAGATTGCATAGAAAAAAATGTACAAATCACTTTAAGCAGGCTAGTCTTTTTTTTTAATTAACATTTTCTTTTGACTTTACCACACAATAAGACTGAGAAAAATTAATCTTTGCCTAGAGATGGTTAATACCTGAATTTCTTCCACTGTATTCTGCTTTGTTTCCCTGCTGGCACTAAGGAGTGGTGCCCTCAGTATTCAACACTACCAAGAGCCCTTCCTCTTCAGTGACTCTTTTTTTTTTTTTCTCTTCAGTGACTCTTAACTCCAATTTCCATGTCTGGAGGCTGGGGAAACTATTCAAGGCTCATGTCAGCCGCGTGTTCTCGGCCACCACTTACAAACCCACTGTGTGGTGAGCTGACCCTCCGTCTTCCTGTACCTCCCCTTCCCAGAGTTCCCGTTCTCTCGCTTTCATGATACTTTGGTTGCTGTATGCTTGTTTGAAAATGCCCTAATCTTCACTCTACTCTTCATTGTGGGAATTTCAAACAGAAGGGAAAGGTTATATTATAATGAGCCATCATAGCCCCAAACCAGACTCCAACATTTGAATTTTATAGTTCTCGATTTCTTACGTGCCTTACCATTTTCTTATCCCTCTGTTTACCAATTCACAGCATGTTTTGGTGAATTTCAGGATAAATAAATGACATTAGGACTTTCCTCTTTAAATACTTCTGTGTGCATTTAATTAAGTTGAGTTCAATATTGTTTAATGGATATTTCTCATTAGATACAACATATACATAAATTAAATTGCACAAATCTAGAGGAACACTGTTTTGACAAATGTGGGCACTGCAATCTAAGGCTCTATCATTCCAGGAAATACCTTGATACCTCTTTCCAGTAGATTCTCACTCCGTGCACCACAGAAGTAGAAATATAATATTTTTGCACACTAGATTCCTCCTGCTGGCTATTATAAGAATGGCTTCCTAAGAATGGCATCAGGGGGGTTAGACACGGCTCAGAGGTTAAGAGCATGTGCTGTTTTCACAGAAGACTCAAGTTCAATTCCCAGTTCCCACACCAGGCAGCTTCAGAAGATCTGGCGCTCTCCTCTGGTCTCCATGAACACCTTCACTCCCATCTGAACACACCTACACACAGGCAAACATATATACACATATTTTTTTTAAATCAGTTTTTAAGAAAAGAATGGAGTCAGATAAAATGCTTTATATAAGACATCTTTGACTGGTCATAGCATCTTTGAAATTCACTCTTATTATTCTGTCTTCATCATTCTCCTTATTATTGCTGAGAAAGTTTTCTATTCCTCACATCTAAGAGCTTGTTTGCCATTTTTCCTCATATGGATTTCTAACTTCATTCTCTATTCATTCTTGAATTGACTAGGACATGACCTCTGTCCAGCACACGGGTTGTTGTGCTAAACAGACCACACATCCTTGACCGGCATGTGTATCTGGCACACCTCAGTGTCATGTTCTGCAAATGGCCTTTGCATCAGAGTTGCACATGGGACCATCTTTCTCTTTCCTGACATTTTTTTTATTTTTTGTTCTTGTTCCCTAAAGAGGACTACTGAAATCTTAAATAGGACTGGGACTTTTCTCTTTCTTCCTCATCCATAAGTGTTTGCTACTTCATGTGGTCCTAACCATGACCTGCTCTTACACTAGAAACCTAAAGTCCTAAGCCACAAAAGAAAGACAAAGACAGAAGGAACTTTCATCCTGCAACCAGCTTCTTTGAAATGTCCATTGCAGAATCCACTCACCTGCACCCTCAAGTGGGACATGTTTTTAACTGTTGTAGAACTGGTCTTCTAGAGCTTCTGCAGCCAGGCCATAAGTGGAACCTTCAAATAAGTTTTAAAGTATTTTTTCCAGCCCAACTTTTAAAGAAATTCTTGATGGAAGGCTTCACTTATTACAAATTAGGCTCCATTGCCAGAAGTCAAGTTTCACAATAAATTTAGTTAAGGAAAGATTTATATCTCCATAAATAGATTTCATGCATTAACACAACATAAATATCACTGTTAAATTTAAAAATGTTTATCCATGCACAACCCCAAATAGTTCTATATAACATCGGCGGCACAGACTTGGAGAAAGTACCCATGATCTGACAGGACTGGATCAATAGCATGTGAACCTCACATTAAGATGATATCTTGACTGATCAGCTACCCAGACAGCCCCAAACCAACTACACAGCATCGCTTCAAGGCAGTTTTTGTTTTGTCTGTGTAAGGATGTCATATCTTCGGGTTATAGACAGTTGTGTGTTGGGGGAGCCTGCTCATTCATTCCCTGCTGCCCAGACACAAAATAATCACACAGAACTCTGTCTCAATTGCAATATTGTTTGGCCATAACTAAGTGTATTTTCAGCTAGTTCATATCTTAAATTAACCCATTTTTATTATTTTATACTTTACCATGAGGCTCATGGTTTACCAGCAAAGTTTTGGTATGTCTGTCTCTGATGGGGCAGCTGCATGGCTTCTTCTTGATTCTGCCTTCGTTCTCGCAGCATTCAGTTTAGTTTTCTCACCAAGCTCTATTTTGCTAAGCCACTGGCAGAAACAGCTTTATTCATTGGCCAATAAAAGCAACACATATACAGAAGGACTTCCCACACCAGTTGTGAACTTCCATGTGGGTGCTGGAAATTGAACCTGGGTCCTCAGAAGAGCAGCCAGTGCTCTTAACTACTGAGCCATCTCTCCAGCCCCTCAAGGCAGAGAACAACTCAAGAACTGTTGTGGCAAGAGGTTCTGTTTTGGGAAATTCTGCACATCAGAAACACCACCTTTGACTTCACTTGACATCGGTACCCTAGAGCTCCCACCCACCTACATGAACCCTACTCTGAAAATCTTGTTGATGAGCCAGTTTTTGTAGGAAAATGAAACTAAAAGTTCTACCAAGTATTCCTTCAGTAAAATGGATCTTCTTGTTTTTTTTTTTTAATATAGAGAAAAGAAGACGAAGAAGCAAGAAAAAGATGGTTGAAAGGTTTTTTATAAAATGGAAACCTTCTAAGGTCATCTGCAATAACAATCAAAAAGATTAGACAGAGGTTATCTGAGGGGAGAGGTTACCCGGGGGAGAGAGCCCTACTTATCTAAGGTTCTGCTTCCTCTGTTGTGATTAGTCATGGCCAACAAAAATCTGAACATCATAGATGGAAAATTCCAGAAAGACAAAACTCGTAAAATTTAAATAGCTTTTACAACAGTCTATTGCTGTGATTGTTATAGTTTATTGCTGGTTATTAATCTTACAGCATCTTATTTGCATGTTAAATTTTATCATAGGTGTCTATGCATAGAAGACAACACATGCACACATACTTAGAGGTTTCAGGCATCATCTAGGGGTCTTAAAATCCCTGAGAACGAGGCACGACCACCGTAAAGCCCTCTCTTCAGGAAGAACCAACCTATGTCACCAGCAATAAGACAGCAGCCATTTCACATTTAAAACCACTTTTGCTCCTCCTTTGATAAACCCTTCCAGTCCCCACTCTAACCTTGCTTCCTGCATTCTAAGTTGCTTTGTGGCCAGTAGTTCACAATGAGGCCAGCATAAGGGAAATGAAGTATTAAAATAAATTGAAATAAGAGAAAGAAAGGACTAAAAAGGAATGGCAGGAGATCAAGGATGGTGCACAGAATGTACTCTGGAGGAAGCAGCCATGTGTCTCTTGGGACTGTATGGGAAGAACAGAGAGCATCATGGGAGTGAGGAGCCTGGGTACCACTCACTCACTGATGAGTCTGATTTTCTGTGCGCTCCCAGACCGATCCCTTCATTTTTCTGTACGATGATGACTTCCTCTGTGAAACGGAGGACTTGACTAGGGAACTCTCGGGCACCTTCCAACTCTAAAAGAATGCAAGCCATTCATGTGTCGGTTCCCCATGGCAGCCAGTCTCTGTTTTCCAACTTGAGATAAGGGGTGTGGACCAGTGTGTCATCTTGTGATCCCCTGCCAGGTCTGATTCCATTGTCATTAACCACAGACGCCCTGATAACTCTAGGCAAAACTCATTGCTCTTGATTTGTGAATGTCTGTGTATTTCCAATTCTGTTGTTTGTCTCTCCAGAAAGAAAAAGCTTTATTTCAAAGGTGTCCCTAAGGTCGGATGGGGAGGTGAACGAGGGAAAAGAGACAGTACAGTTGTCATTGGTAAAGTAATCCTCTCCACTTCAAAGGATCTAATATCCAAGTTTTGGACTTGTTATTGCAAATAGCTTGTGGGAAACTTCTTAGAGACAGAGAGAAGAACCAGTAGAAGTTTCTCGTTCTTATTTGGAGGCAGAGAAGAGCATGGAGCAGTGACATGCAGATCGTGTGCTCCAAAAGCAGCTCCGGATTCTGAAGCTTGGCCACAGGAAAGGCTTCGAACACTGACAATTAAATCTGTGTCTACACTAGATGGGCAGACATTTGTATGAGTGACCAGTTGCCACTGGACAGGATTCAGATGAAGCACATAAAACAAGACGTTCGTTGTCCACAGGTTCAGGTACAAATTCTATAGTTTCTGAGTAGGCATGTTCACTTATCACAGTCTCAAGGCTCAACTACTTCCTTCCTCCATATCGTGATTCTGCAAATCCGAGTAGTTTTGATTTAGATGTCTTGTCAACCAGTGGGCCAAAGCCAATGGTCTAACCCCTTAGACAAATTTATTAGAAGCCTGGCACTAACAGCTTTGTCTAGCACGCCTCTGAGAGCTCTTAGCCAAGCTGTTGTGAACAGTTACGTAGGTGTGTCCTACACAATAAAACCAACAGGGAGGATGGACCAATGCTGAAATCTCCCTTTCTTCGGTACATCAAGTCAGTGTCCCGACTTGACATGTTCACCTATGTGGTCCATAGATAGACTGAACCGAATCCTACTCACAGCCTGTTGCCTCCCTTCTCTCAAACTCCCAGACAACCTTAAACCGTGACAAACGTCTTCTATCAGTTCTATAACACACTCCTCCGACCCCAGGGGTACTTGTTAATGTGTGGCATACACACAGAGAGATACACACATTCACACAAATGAAAATAAATCTGAAAAGAAGTTTGCGAAAGAAACCCTACATGGGACAGTCTAGTAAGAACTTTTGTGGTGACAAAATATTTCAGAATCCCTGCTCTCCTTATAAGAGAGCTGAGCCTTAAGTTCCCTCTAGCTACAGCCTTTCTGGTTCCTTTTAAGTGTTCAAGGTGTTCCTCAGCGGACAGGCATCTCTCTTGCACAGAAAAGACAACATTAAATTAGGGATTTTGAAATTAGCTGGCTCTGTCGATTCAACCCTCAAGCCTCAACCTTCTAAGGTTGCACCAAGGTTCTCGGAGTCTGAGTCCATGATGATCAAAAGCACGAGCATGTTTCAAAATATCTCAATTAACGCCACTTTTCCCTCCCATCCTGACATTTGGCAGCATCTAAATACAGCCAGTGGAAGGCTCAGGTTGGCCTTGTCAGAGTGGATACAGCTCAGCAGCTGAATAGTAGGCTCCCGGTTTCTCAGTTCACATCATCGAATCCGCAGAGAAACATTGGCCTATGTGATAGGCGGGCAGTCTATGGGGTATTTTATTGACCAAGGATGGGATTCACGACAATGCCACATCTATGTCAAACACACACAGTAAAACTTTACGGTTCCTCCCCTGAAATACTCTGTTTGCATCACATGGGTCCAATCTAATCTTTTTTTTTTTTTTTTGGTTTTTACATTTTTTCTTCCCCTCCCCCACTCTCTTCCCTGTCCTCTTTGTCTCCTAAGACCTGGTCCCTTTGGAAATGCATTAGTTACCTAGGAAACCTTAATGTCATTTTTTTTATGAGTGGAGTTTAGTACAGCATAAAGCTAATTTATAGGGTGGTTAGGAATTCGTGTCGTAACTAGTGAAACAGGAGACTGCATCATGACTTCTAGATCCACCTGTGTGGCAGGCTGCAAACCTTCACTCTATCATTATGGGTAATTTTTTGAAGCCTAATTATAAATATGCATTCTAGTTCACCAAATGAGTTGATTCATTGTTGTTCCATGTAATGCATTATAGTGTTCAGTACAAGCCCCAGAGCGTAATTAGTGATAAAAACCGGGCAGTAGTACACTAGGAAATCTGTTAACAGTGGAAGGATGTGCTGGAATTTCCTCTCAGATGATGAGGTGATTCCGCCCCAGAGGCGGGGAATGAATGAGAATTTCAAACCCTTCGTCTATGTTGCTCATGAGATCCACATTAGGAAATTAAATAAATTCTAGGTATGTCCACTACTTCATTCTGCTCATTTCTTACTGTCTGGGAACGCACGCACAATTATGCTAATGAAATATGGATGGAACCCAAATAATAGGCATCTTTCTTTCTGATGGCCGCTAACACTTACCAGTCCGGCGCCAACGATGTCAATGTAAGGACTGAGGAACTTGGATCTGAGGCTCCCGCTATGTGAGGCACTGTGGGGAGAGTTTCAGGTTGCAGACTGCATTTAGTCTTCTCAGTGCACCCGTGAGATGGGCACTATTTCAACAACTCTGGACAGGTTCTGAGGAGCTAGGTACCCTGTGCAAAATATATCTAGTAGGGTTGAGAGAGCAGCCCTGAAACTCAGGTTTGGCAGACTACAAAAGTGACCCTTTCAAGGAATTCTACTTCTTGGTCTCTTAGTGGGACCTTTTGTTTGCTTGTGAGAAGATGTTAGATGTGAGAAGATTTTAGAGTATCACCTGTATCACCTATAATATCTCCACTAGATTGAGGCCGGTCCTTGAAGCCAAGATGGGTTTGGAAGACATCTTAGAGCGAGCTATACTTACTGAATAAGCACAGACACACCACCCAGCTTCCAGGGACAACTGATCTCACTGCCTGTGTGGGGGAATCCTGGGGAATCAGGTCTCCTAAATGCTCCAAGGCATCTGGGAAGAGCTGCTAACTGGCAAACTAGCCCACTAGCCCGAGTGCTTACTGCTTAACAAAGGTGTAGCTGCACATATGGCCTATTGCATGGAGAGCCAAGATAAGGCAATGTATCAAACTCCCCTGACCCTAAGTTCCCATTTCTAATGCAAATGCCTTTTGCACTCACTTCCTTTTAGAACTGTAGACTTTCTGACTCCATCATCTGGAATAGCTGTCTGGATGAGCAGGGCACAGGAGGGGGCGGGGACAAAAGCAAGCACAGGAGCTGTAGCTAGACAGCCTTAGGACCCTCCGGCAATACAGGCCACTCGCAGATAGCCTAGGGTCAGCTAAGGTATGTTATTTATACAAAGGCCAGTGAAAGGCGGCATTGAATGAATGCTAGCTATGCGAGCTAAGGCTAGCTGCATAATGAAGCTTATCTTTGTAATGGATAGTCAAACAGGACCATTAGGTCCAATATTTCCATTCCCTGGGTCACTATTTCACTGTGAATTAGCCATGACCATGCTGTACGAGGGACCCCTTCCACCCCAGAGAGACACGCAGGAGCCAAAACAGGAGAAAATGCAGTTTTCCAAGCAGCCCAAGACTCATTTCCACCTTTCCATTTTATTTCTGTTTTGCGTTTCAACCACATTGTGGCGCTATTACAAAAGATAAGGGTAGGCCAAAGGCAAGCTCTAGGAATCCGCCTTGGGAGAGAGTTTAAAGGGGGCTTTGCAAAACTGGACCTGGCCCCTGTTCTCAACAAACTGCTTTCGGGAAGCAGAGCTGCAGATGCAACCGGGAGAAAAAGCAAGTCCATTGACAAAGGTGCTGTCACCAGATCGGTGCCCCAAACCAGGGACTCTGCTTAGAGAGGCCTCTACCTAGCTAGCAAAGACCCTGCTGTCTAAAGGACTCCATTGCTTCCTGGGGCCTTCTCTTAGCTCTAGTTATCCATACCGCGCTTAGCGCTGGCCTTCCGATAAACACTTCAACTCTCTATTTAGAAACTTGGGTTTGCCCAGAAGTCACTATGACTCTGACCGGCTTTTATCTGCCTGTAAACAAGTGAACCTTTCTGCCTCTTTTCCGCCTAGCATCCTCTGAGCTCCTCTGGAGTTCAAGATGCCTTTGTATCTACTAAGGGAAGGAGGACCTTTAGCTCTTCAGTGGAAAGAAACAAGGAAGGAGACGTTTGACTGCGTTCTGGGGGAAGGAAATCCTCAAACAGGTCTTGCAAAAAGAAAATGAGGACCCTTCTCTCTCAGGGTGGGGGTTGAGGGGTGTGGATCAGTTCTCTGAGGAAAGTGCATCTTTTGCCCTCTGCTCTTGGCTGGGTCTCTCCCTGCCCCCCACCCCCGCCCCAGACACCGCACATATTTGGCAAGATTAAGGTGTCACCTCTCATATTACAAGGCCTGTTGATTGCAGGCGGAGACAGACCCTCCTGCACCCTTGAGTTGAAAACAATGCTCTCTTCCTGCCGTCGCCCGGGTCTGGCAAAGGGAGGCAGCCAGCCAGTGCACCGCATCTGCAGAACAAATCGGAGTCTTGAACTCTGAAGCCTTTTCTTTTGCCTGTTCATATTTAAGCTTGCCCCTCTTAGACCCCTCCTCCCTCCAGACCGCCAGTGACCGGGGAGCAGCCGGCGGAGCAGCCCACACGTGTATTTAACCCGTTCCTCTCTGCCCGGCAGTCAAGCACCCCTTTGGTTGCAGTCTTTTGAGCCCCGGGACCAGGAACTTGAGAAATGAGCCCCTAGAACTCGGCCGGCAGAGAGACTGAAGGGAGAGGCGGGGGAGGGACGCGGGGGGGGGCAAGTGCGGGAAGTGGGGGAGGGCAGGGGCGGGCCAGAGGACCGCGAGAAAACCAGAACCCCACAGAGCACGCCCAAGCCAAACCTCCAAAGTGCTGTGTGGCAGGGTGAGGGGGAAACTCGGCCGCCCGCTCGGATCCGGAGGAAAAAGGAGATATTTTGGCAGGAGGGGAACCTTTGAAGGAGGACTCAGCCCTTCTGTGGGACCGTTGGAGGTGACGTCCTTGGGCCTCTGTGGGTGCTGCAGGCCATTTTCGATGTGGCAGCCCCCGTCAGCCAGGATAATGATGAGGCAGGTACAATCTATCTAGTATGCAGCCCCCCAGACTCTCCATCCTTTCTGGCCTCCCTTCGCCCTGCAGCTTCTCTCGGCCTCAACCGGTGGGTGCAATTTTGGCGCTCCTGGGTGTGGACCAAACGCACACAACTCCAAGGAATTTCCAGGTTTTGAACCTGGAACCTTGCTGAACTACACTGCGGGTTGCTTATCAGACACTTTAATGGAAGGCAAGGAAGAGGGAAACTATTAAATCGCCTCTTCTAGTGCCTGTGAGTCAAATGTCCTGACAAGAGGGGGCTGCGGGGGGGGGGGGGTAGGGTGAGGAGGGCGCTTGGACTTTGCATTCCACCTTGCAAGAACCAGGGAAAGAGTGAAGGAGCAATACTCTACTCTCAATTTCTCCTTACCACTAGGACTTTCCCTCCTGCCTTTCTCTTGAACAGCAATAGAGCCAAATCTTGATGCGCGCTGACCGCTGTATATTGAGAGAACCAGTTCGGAACAAGTGGGGTCTAATGGCTAGCCAAAATTATCTTCAAATAAAACCTCTGCCTGGGATCTTTTCTCGAATGAATCTAGCGGTTATGGAAGAGAGCGTCGCTACTTTCGGGGAGACGGGAAGAGGTGTGTTGCATGCCTTTTCTTCTGGGCAAGCGGTGTTTGTGCCGAGCGGTGGGTCCTGGGCGAGTGCTCAGCTCCAGGGCCGGGTTCTACTTTGGAAGGAAGGGGTAGGGAAGTTGGAGACTGAGTAAAATGCGGGGCTTGGCCTCGTGCCTCTAGTTTTCTTTCACGCACGCGCCGCGCAAGCAAGCCAACCCCTCCCTTGGTTGCTCAGGACCCCCACCCCCACCTTACCTCGGTGAATTAACCTAAGACAGCTCGCACTGCGCCTTGGGAACTGGTCCCCCGGACCGGAGAGTTCAGTTGAGGGAGAGCAATTGTTCTTGGGCGAGCTCCTGCGGCGGTGGTGAGAGATCCAAAGCTAGAAAGCTCTGAGGTTTTGAGGCAGAGTTTAAGGTTGAGAACCAAGCTTTCCTGAACCAAGGGGCAAGAAAGGCCTTCTGCCTCAATAAAAGAAAAGAGAGAGAGAGAGAGAGAGAGAGAGAGAGAGAGAGAGAGAGAGAGAGAGAGAAAAGAAAGGAAAGAAAGATAAAAGAATCTTAAAAGAAAAAAGATCAAAAAGAAAAAATTCAAGAATAAGACAGATCGAATATATTAACGTGTAAAATATAATGATAAATTGAATGTTTTCTACGACTCTTCCCCATGACTAAAAGGGAAATCAAATATAGGAGGTACTGAAGAATAGGCTATTTTGGAAGCGTTTGTTTGTTTGTTCGTTCGTTCGTTTGTTTTCCTTTAAAGGGGACTAGGAGAATTGACCCGGTCTCCTTGTTGTTCTCCAGAGCAAACCCCAAAGTGCTGGGCGCGGGCTTGCGAATCACTGCGGGCGGGGCTCGGGGGCTGGGGCTCGGCGCGGAAGGGGTTAAGGCGCTGAGCGCGGAGCCATCTGGCCGGGTTGGCTGGTTATAACCACGCAGATTATGTTCACGGGACTCAGAGTAGAAGGGCTCCTCTCCTTACCCAGCAGCTCCGCGCACCGCCCCGCGAGAGAGCCCGGCCGCAACTTTCTTCCCTCTTTCTTCCTCTCTCGTTTTTCCCACCGCTGGGTAGTGGCTGCGGCAGGGGTGGGCGAGACTGAATGACCGAACTCGAGTCCACCTTTCTCTTCATGTCGACGTCTCTGGAAATAGTCACACGGATGCCATGGTTACTTCTGCCACGGTAAGGGGATGTGGCGGGCTCTCTGGGTGGGCAGCAGGGAGGAAATTGGGGATCGCGTTGGGGGGAGATTTTACCGAGGATCCCCGTGGTGGGGGGCAACTCTGCACCCAGCCCCACCCCCATCCTGTAACAAGCTCTTAACTTTCCGGTTCTTGTGCCTTCAAAGTTTGCGTTGGGATCTGCCCAGGCCTAGGCGCAATCGCCACCACCCCCCTTCCACATGCATGCACACGCGCGTGCGGATAAGGCTCCCCACCTCCTCCTCCCTCTAGTCCCCTGGCTGCCCAAGAAACCGCCCTCAGTCTGGGAAAGTGATCAGGTTTAAGAAACCTGCATTGGAAAGGGAGGGAGGTGGAGGAGAGGGAAAATGGGGACCACGAAAAGACAGGAAGGGGATTCTGCACCCCCTGCCCTTCCACCTCAGGCGTACACACCTCCAACCCCCCTACCTAGTTCTCCCAGAAGGCTCCCGCGCATCGTCTAACAAAAGGGGGTAGAAGACAAAACCGAGCCTGGGAAGAGACCGGGATCCCGGCATTCGCCCTGCACCCCGCTGGCCACCGGGCACTGTTCAACAGCTCTACTACACAGCCAGGCAGGGCGTGGGCTGGGGGAGGGGACGCAAAGCTCAGGACCCCCACAGTCACTTCTCAGGTTAGGGGAGTTGGAATTCCCCGCCCAGAAGTGCGTACCTGCGCTAGGATCCCACATAAGTCTTTTCTCTGAGAAGGTCCCCAGCCCCCGGCTACTCTGGGGAGCGCCTACCCTATGGCTACCCACCCCGGGTCTTCCCACAGATGTTGGAGCTAGCGCTCAGCCCGCCCGTCTGGGATCCGGCCAGGGAACGGTGGGTACCGGGGCGGGGCCATCGGTAGAGATTTGGTAGCAATTTCTCCGAGCCCGTTTTAGCACCCCCTCAACCCACCCCCTCCAGAGGTGGTATAGGAAGGCCGAGAGCATCGGAGACCCTCAAAGCTAGGTAGGAGTTAAAAGAACCCACAGCGGACTCTTTCCATTGCTACCGGTCTCTGCACAGTGGTGGATACTTCTAATGAAATTTGGCACGCTTGGGAACTGAAGGTGCGGAATGAGGGGCTGGTGTGGGGTGCGGGGACGATCGGTCTGCTTGTCGCTTTCGGGCGTGCGTGGGTGTGCATCCAAGAGGCGCTACTGCTTTGCGCAATTTTGGCGTTCTTCCGCACCGCTCAGATGCGCCCCACTGGGACCCCAGCATCGTACGGCGTGGACGCAGTTGATTAGAGAAGTCACAGGAGGGAACTGGAATTGAGGCTCACGTTTTCCAGGTGGGGGAAGCACCCACCAGATTGATCCGACCTCTTGCGACCGGCGGGCAGCAGGTTGAGAGTCAGAGTGGAGGCTGCTCTAGGACGCGGTCCCAGCCAGTGCAGGCTGCTAAGCTTGGAGAGCCGGAGCCCCTGAGCCGGGACTTGTTTATGAGTGTGAAGAGGTTGGGGGCGGGAACCTGCTGGGGGAGGGGAAGGGAGACTGTAAGGGTGTGTGTTACTAGCTGAGTCTGATGTTGGAAATTCTGCGGGTTACGGAGTGTGCTGCTGGCAAACCTGCTTTTCAGTAAAGGGTTGCCTTTCCACTGCAAACCAGCGAGCGAGGAAATAACCTAAGCACAGTGCCCTAAACGTCAGGCTGAGAAAAGAGTGTACCAGAGAGTTGGGTTGTACAGGGGAGCTTTAAATCGGTTCTGTTTTCTAAATAGGCTGAACTTTGCCCGCTTACTCAGCCTCCCCTGATCCTGACGTGTTGCTCAAAGAAATTTGAGAGGAGGAATCCAGACGATAAACCCCAACTACCTCCGCCTTAGGCTCAAACAGACTCGAGTGTAGCGTTGGGAGAGAGTGGGGGCGGGGGCAGCTGGCTGCAGGCTGCTGTAGCAGGCAGTATATAGAGACAGAAGAAAGTTTACCGGCGGCGTTCTCCTCAAAAGAGCAAGTAGGATTGCGCTTTGCTGAGGACTGTGTAGAAGATGGCCTTGAGAAAATTGTATCTGTATGAATCGGTCTGATTTCCCGAGGAGGGAGACTGATCCTTGGGTGGCCAGCAAACAACTGGGAGGGCCCCCTCTGTAAGAGAGGGGGGTTTGGGGGTGGTAACGTAGGGAAAAAGGTGGAGCTGACTCCAGCTTCCTCCAGCCCTGCTGGCCCTGGAGGGGTGGGGAGCCTGGGTGATGGGCATCTGTGTGCATAGCAGGAGACAAGAGCTTGTGGGAACATAGGTGTAGCTAATGAGAAATCTGTGCCTGGGAAGGGTGTCGGAGCTGGAGAAGTGCAGTGTGCCGAAGACAGATGGCTCGTGCGTGCCTGCACAGACACATGGGGTGGGTGTGGCGTGGGAGGGCGGCTGGGCTGGGTGTGTGAAAGGTGGACACGTGTGGGAGCTGGCCGCCTGAAGATTACCACAGGGATGCAGAGGGGAGATTAGCTGAGGAGAGGGGAGTGCTAACTTTATGAGCATGTGCAGCCTGGGATTGGACTGGAAGGGCACCGGAGCACGTGGGAGATAAAGAAGTGTGGGCCCTGGCATTCTTACCTAGAGCAGTACAAGGAAGGAATGGCTTTAGCCTCTCCCCCTTCCCTGCCTTCCAGTTGAAGGGACAGGAGAAGGCTTAAAGGAGGGTTGCACATTTAAGGGGAAAGTTCTTGTGTGTTGGCACACGGTCCAGTGACAGCAAGTGCTGTGTGCAGAAAACTCCCGAGTAAAGAATACATTTGCCATTTGCGTGCCAAGTGGGAAGGATGTACATTGTCAAATATCATCTCAGTAGATGTTGCTGGAAGGGCAAACAACCACCAGTTACTGTTGATTATTATTTTAAAATTAACGGGATGCCTACTGGATGCTCAGCTCGTTGTTGGGTGCTGGGATGTGGCACACAGCCTTGGAAAAATTCCTTCTCCACGCTCAGCTGACTGTTGCAGTGTTGCCAGGAAGAGGGAGTACGGTGCCTGGCGAGGTTTTTTTTCCCTAGAGTTGTTTGTGGATCGGGGGAGTCAAAGGGAAGCTGACTTGACATTTATGTATGATTTTTGCGAAAAGGGTTCGATAAAGGCGAAGGACGATGGCTACTTCTGTGGGTGGGCAGGGAGCTAGAGGATGTTCCTGCTGCTTTCCTGGAGTACAGGCTAGCCTGGGAACTGGAAGGTGGTGCGTTCCAGGGAGAAAGCGAGAGTCCGGATCCACACTCCAGGATGGAGTGTGCCAGAATCAGTCTTGATACACGGACCTGGGGGAAGGTGCAGGCACACAGATGACAAGCTGGGTCAGTAGTGAGTGCTCGCTCCTCTTGGAGGCTTCTGCAAGATGAGTCTAAAGCTACACCCGAGTGTGTGCTAATGCTTTTGTCCATGAGCTTGCTGGGGGCTCAAGTGGCTACGAGAAAACTAGCCGGCAGGGTGGAGAAACGCGTTTAATATTCCGACCCCAGGGAAGGAAAATGCAGGAATTCTGGGAGTCTGGGGAAGGGGCTGGTCTTGGGTGCTGAGACAGGTGTCTTAAGCGAACAAAGGCGTGGTTAAAGGACGAGCTGTGGGCTCCAGGGTGTGAGAGCAAGGAGAAGCCTCCAGAGTTCCCTGAGGTGTGAGGTGCCTGGAACTAAGCAGGAAGAAGGTTATGTACTTTAGGGGTAAACAGGGGTAAGCACAGCTGTCCACCTGGGCCAGGTGACAGGGAAACCCTTTTGATCACGTGAGGGCCTCCGGGTAAGGCGCTATTCGGCTAGTGGCAGTCTCGATGCGTGAACTTGAAGCTGTGCTATTTTGAGTCTCTCCCTGCATGTTTCAGAGAAGTTCATCTCCCTGAGCAATAGCTGATCTCAGGCAGAGCTAGTGCCCACTGTTCTCTGAGAACCCAATGAAGGACAAGGTAGAAGACTCGCAGTGGGGAATGTCTGCACTTCGTCGGCCGCTTTGGAAGAGCGGGGCTCTCAAGTTTTCTGATGTGTAGGACTGTCTACATTTGTCTGCAGAGTGCCTGTGTTGAGGAGGACTGGGAAAGAAGGGAAATTCTTTAGCCAGCAAAGCTCAAAGGGACTAGTTGTAAAAGCTGTACAGAGAGGCAACCTACTTGGACACAGGTGCAGACATCTGTCAGTCACTGGTCAAAATGGGATCTTAGTCTCTCTGTCTGCAAGATGCGTCATCATTCTAGCTAGCAATCACATCTTCGCTGCTTATCCGCTGTGGAAAAGAACTGCTCGTGGCTGCCTCAGTTTACTATTCATCCATCCACCCGTAAACTGGAGGGAGCTGAAGTTAGATTTTTCATTTATAGAAGTCTGATAGGTCTTTGAATTATTCAGGAAGAGAGGCAACACAGGAATCGGTTATTAATTTTCACACGAATTTTATGTTCGCATCAGCTGTGCAAGCCACAGTGACAAAACAAATGTGACTTTGAAAGCACAGATCATAGTAATTGTCCTTGGCATAGGCACGGTTTGTGTAAGAGGGAAGCAAAGTCCAGCCGCCCTGTGTTACTGTCAAGGTCTGTGTTTTTCTAGACGATAAGTCCTTGGCAGGCCCCAGCCTGCCTGGAGAGAAGAACCCCGGGGCCGGGAGTTGTGAAATGTAGCTTGCCCAGTGCAGCCAGTTGGGCACAGCTACTTTCCTCGGAGACTAGGATGTGGGCCCAGAGGCCCTGAAACATCCCAGTCCTCCCAGAAGTTAGCACACGCTGTCAACTCCTGGCTCAAAGTCAAGGTTCCCATCCTTGAGTTCAGTGGCCATAAATAGTCAGGAGCCAAGCTATTTCCATGAGGCACTAAACCAATTCTTTTGCTTTTTTTGGCGAGATTGGGCCAATTAAGTTGATTGGAAGAGGTCACCGCTGATGGGTCTCACATTCCCCAAGCAGGACAGGCCAGCAGAGTTTAATTGCATAACATTTCCCATCCCTGCCATTGCGCTCCCAGATGTATCAGCTGCTCAGGCCTTTCCTCTTCCCTTCCATTCAAGATGCCTAATTGAGCAGGCTGCTTCTGCTGCAAGCTCCTCCAGACCTTTTCCTGAGCTCCAAGGCTCCTGCCCTAAAGGGAGAGTCTGCACATCCAGGTGCTGGCTGGAGGTGAGAGAAGGGGTTTGGAGGGACACAGAAGATCTTTTAAACCCACTACGCTGTTTCAAGACCTCAGCAGCTGCTGTTCTCCTCATCAACCAGGCAGGCAGTCTCTGACACTGGGGATACTGAACTAATGACTGTTGGACTGAGTTCTATATGACTGACTTGGTTGGAAAAGAACCAAATCTTTTACTGGAGGAAAGTCTGTGGCCCATGTGGGGTTGCTGATAAGGCCAGTGGATACACTTGGTGCATGGGCAAGCATGTGGCGATGAGATCACGTGTGTGTGTGTGTGTGTGTGCGTGTGTGTGTGTGTGTGTGTGTGTGTGTGTGTGTGAATACACATGAACA